ACGATGGGTCTTGAGATTCGCTCTGAACTTCGTAAGTGTTGGAGAAGTAGCCAGAGAAGTAAGTCGAAAGTTCCAGAGAGAAGGGTCAGAAAAAGAAAATGCAGATTTAGCGAAAGAGTGTTTAACACGAGTTAAGAGGAAGTGAGAACAAGAAGACGATCGTAAACATGGGCATTTAGGCTCAATTAATATATCTGATAAGTACTTAGGAAATAATTAAGATTGAGACTCATACATTAGTGTGCAAATTAAAAAAATTATTCAATATTTTATAGGTAGCCAGTGCAAGAGAACAAGATATGGAGATATATGAGAAACGAAAGGGGCACGAGCAACTAGATGAGCAACAGAGTTAAAAGCTTTACTTAAAGGATAGAGTGTAGAATCGGGAAGACCATAGTAGAACGAGGTACAATAATATTTTAGATAAAACAAAAAAAGTAAGTAAGAAATAATAAGAAGGAGAAGAGAAGGATCGTTTCAGTCGTTATGATTTTCAATTCGTCAATCGTCAAGAAAAAGGCAAAATTTGTGGATGAAAATAAGAACTTCTAGCAACAACATCAATCTGAGAAAAAAGAAATACATCAATACTACTATACAATGAATTGAATACCTATAAACTACTCATTTTAAACTCAGTCTTAACTTTACAGAAATGTTAATCCCGTAAAAATTGTCCGTTAATCGTTTGGAAAATCAAATATTTAATTGAGTCGTTCGAAAAACTGTTGGACCTCTTTGAGGGAATGTACAAATTGTGCACAACGCTGCACATCTCGCTGGCAACTGTGACGTAGTCTGTGACATCATCCCATCTAATGCCAAGGTCGGATCCTTCGATGGTCACCGTGGTTCCTCCTGACAGGGGTGACGAAGTCGGGTGCACCTGGCGAGTGACAGAAAAATGTTCATCAATTTTATGATGTCATTATAAGTGCTTCTGGCGAGTGAAAGTGACGTGTTTATTTTATAGATTTCAAACTGAGGCAGTTCAAGTGAGAAATATGGCATTTTACTTTGAATTGTCATGAAGTTATGCGGTGTGGTAGAGTAAATGTTTGAAATTGAATGAACATCCGATGCTCGTTTTGTCGCTTTTCTTTCTCCCATATTTTTCTATCTTTCATATTTTTTTTTATCCCACCTCTTAATTCTTAATTATAAGATTTTGAATAAACAGTAAAAATAAAACATTTTTGTGTACTTTAACTTCACAAATATTTTACAGACGACAAAAAGTCTAAACCGAAACCTCCTGGATGAAATTTTTCCACTCACTCTCCACAACTCTGTCAGTGCTCTTTTAATTTATCTGTTTTTGTTTCCTCTGGCCTTACTCTAAAATTTTCTTCCAACGTCTCTAATTTGTTCTC